AGATTGGAAGTACGTCGCGATGGTCTTGGACAGACTATTCTTGTGGATATTCACACTGGCCGTGTTCGCTGGCACGGCGGGCATTATCCTACAAGCGCCCACGCTTTATGACGACCGGATACCAATTGACAAAAAATTCAGTGAATACCAAACGTAAGTATGAAAGTCATAACTCATAACTACAGTAACATTATGATGTGTGTMCGTCATAATATTAAATACTTATGTCTTAAATCTAAATACAACGCGCAGACGTTTAACAGTGGCGTATCTGAAGATCAACCAAGTAAGTGCTGGTCGTGGTGGTTGCGGTGGTGATGGATGGTAGGGAGGAGTGATAAACGTTTTTTTCAAAACAATGATTGAACTTCCCTTACAACATGACATTATTCAAACTTTCGAATTTTTTAATTTAATTTTTTTTTCCAACTGCAGTATTAATATGTGCCTATTCAATTTATATTATATATGATAATAATTCAACAATAATAAAGAAATATTCATTAAAAGAATCACGACCTCGCTCTTGATGCTCGACTTATAAACCACCATACCAAATATACGCCACTGGACGWTGATTATAATAATTATTCGTTTATTTATTCATTTTTATTTAAAGTTTAAAGTAAAAGCTTCAATGGCTAGGAAATTATYCTCATAATAATTATTGTATTTACCGGTAAGTGATCTTAATACGAGTAAAATCAACCAATGAAATGTGAATCTCAATATTATTATTATGATATTATTTTTGWATGCTTACATTCAAGAAACAATAATATTATATTATACATATTTACAGTTGTTTAGGACGATATTGTGTCTGTATAAAAACACATAAAATATATTATAATACCATATAATACCATATAAGTGCATCATTTTATAGTTTGCTATAGTATWACTATATAAGAGAAAAGAAATTGGACGGGTTATGTTTTTGCTCATTTTAAATGTTTATATTACGGTGTACATCTTAAAGCTTTTACAGGTATTTTTTATTCAAATTTCACAGTGAATAAACATTATGAAATGGTTTTTATTAGCACTGTATAAATTATTTGATATTAAATAAAATTCTTTAACACATTATTCAGGACAAATTTTATATCAAGTTAGTTTTTCTCGGGGTAATGTTATGACATTTTTTATGATAGAACGCGTTTTAATAATATTATTTCGTGTGTTTATCGACAAAATTGAATMATTTAATTCAAAAAATAATAATCTATAGTTAATATCTACCACAGGTCCTATTGATATTATAGAAATTAGATTTATGTTATGTGATAATCGATAAGTGATGTTTGACATACAGAATTAAATAGAAAAATATTTTTTTGTCATATTTTGTATAGGTCAATATTATAAATAATAAACAATACAGACACAATATTAGTCCACCGCCCTGGTGTTTATAATATTATAATAATAACAAACTTATGAATTGGTCAGACGTTGCGTGGACAAAAGGATGTAAGTCGAAACCACAATACTTTTCGGTAAATGAAAATAACGTTGAATCCTGTATTTATTGTGTTTTTCACGTATRATTTAAGCTGAGAAAAAACATAAAAACAAAAATGTTGATAATTAAAACTGCGTACAACAAAATAATATGTTTTCTGCAAGTTAGAAACATAATGGAAAAACAGCTAAATCGACTCATTCCCTTTTATCCACGCAACGAACGATCAATTGATCAGAGTGTTAAAAAAGTTTAATAATTACAGGTCTCCTAGCATAAGGAAGAAACTGAAGATAGGCCGTTATTGAAATAAAGTACCTACAATTATTATAAACCGATACCTAGCGTTTTTCTTGATTGAAATGTTTTTTTAAATCTCTTATACACACACAATCACACACACAAGCCTATCGGCAGTATGAATTTTAGTCAAACTTTTACATTTTATCCTAATTGTAAAAATACACTTTATCGTCGATGACAAAAATTCTCACGGATGATTTTTTCAGAACACATACATTTTAATCGCACAAAACATAAAACATTATATACATTTAGTTTCGTGAATCTTCAAGCATGAACACCCCCCCCCCACGACTAAAATTGATTCGTTTAAGATTGCATCAATTTAAATCTTGATAATTGGTACCTATCGTTCAGTATCTTTACTCAGAGACTATATTTTCAAATACCTACTAAAAAAATTAAAAATGTTATGTCATTAAAGGTGTGTTCTGTGTTGATACAAATTTCTTTATTTCAATTGAGAACCACTTTTTAATTTTTAACCATCTAAATTCTWAACCAAAAACCAATTGAGTAATTTTGAGTTATTAAACTTCACGTCTTAATTTACGGTAGATAACAATCCGTGAAAATATGTTTGAATGATTGGGGGATAATTTAAGGGCAAAGGTCATTAAAAAATTATAGTAATTAACATTAATATTTTAAAACTTTATAATTTGTGTAAATTGTATGAGTTTTATAGGTAAATACAAAACTTAACCGTTTACATATATATAATATCATGTCGAACCATTATTACTAAGTTTTATCCATAACTTAGAGTTTAATAACTCAGAAACTTCCCGTTAGAATTTCTACTAAGAGGCATTAAAATGTTTTTTAAAAATGTAGTAAAAAGAGTAGTTTGCGTGTRAAAAAAATAAATTTGGATCACTGCAGGCCACTCTTTATATTATGGTGTAATAAAAATGCGGTGTTTAAGTTAACTTCAAACCTAAAAATTCGAAATAATCAAAATAATTTGAATAAACCCATTATTAAAAAACAACAAAATGGGGTGAGCATGCTTGGGGAACAATTCAGTATATTATATTATATTTACCCASTATGTAGATGTATGGAGAAGCGTTATTATGTGTTAGCACTTAAGATTACGTTCACATTACGGGCGCATAGGATATTCGTCCTACCCTCAACCGCAATACACTATACTGCACATTATTTTTAAATTTATTTTGTTTGTCAGCACAAAATGTACTCTAATGATTTTACTTCAAAAAGTTTAAGTTCCTTAACGAGGTACATAGCTTACGTGGGCAGATCTTTCGAAAACATTATACGACTCATTCAATGACGTCCGGTCCTATTTAATTTTCTTGTCACATACATTACACCCACARCAATCTGCCATGTTATACGATATTTACGTTCATGTAAAAACAGCCAAAATGAAATTTCAGGTAGCTCCATTAGGCTAATACGTAATTTTTTTCACTTTTTTTATATTATTATATAATAACAATTAAAAGTTATTAAATCAGGAAATAACATAAGTATAATATTATGCTACCAACACCCACACACATATAGTGGTATAAATATGATGGTTTAATAATAAAAGTACATTTATTGAATTTTCTTTGGCTGGAAATCAATTTAGTACAATCCATACGACACGATTAAATAACATATATTCCAACATCGTATAGACTTGAATTTAATCACGTCTRGTTAGAAATATTAATAATGTTCCTTTATAATGTGTTTGACTATATCATTGTATTGCCGGTTCAATATTAATAATACCTTCCAAGTAGGTAGGTAACATTTTTCGATTTATTCCTGTAAATATTTATTTAATTAATTTTACTTATATAAATTCTATATATTTCCATTGTCTGCAGAAATTATGACATTTTCTGTACAATATGTTTTGTATTTTTTTATTAGCTCATAAAGAAAACGAGTTTTTTATGAATGAAAAGAAAAATCCGATTGGAGGACGCCTTTTACTCGAAAGGTACGTGGTCTAACAATATAAGATTGAATTTCAAAAACAGCTCTTTAATAACATTATTGCATATGTATAATGTCAATCGGACCATTATAATGCAATACAATATGTTAATGTACAAAATAATTAATTCAAACTAATAATTATTAAAGAGACACGGGGATAATGTCTAGCCTCTATTTTCGTTGTTGTTTCGTAACCATTTTATCTCTGCACAAAGCCGATCAGCGAACATAATTTTGGAACGCGTTTTGACTATTTTATCTCGTCGGAGACACTTAGCTTGAC